TTCCTTGGTTTGTTGTCGGACAATAATTATTAAAAATTAGGTTTAAATTATGTCTCAGTTCTTGTCATAATTTCTATTTTTGGTCTCTAAAATTTTAATTAGTATTTTATCTCAATCCTTGAAAAGCATAAAAATTATTACAAACAAGTTCAAGTCTTTGTTGAATGATTGATAAAATTAACGTTAAGGACGATTAAAGTAATTTTTTGCAAAGTTTAAAGGTTAAAGCAGAATATTTAAAAATGGAGATGAACAATGAACATTTAAAATTTTAAAAACTACAACAAAATAGTTAATTACGAAAGTTCATAAAATTAAAATAAAATTTGAACCTAAAAAATATTATATTTAATAATTAATTTACTCTATTCTATAATAATAATAATAATTTTTTTATCCTCTTATGACGTGTTATATAATTTGCTTAAGAAACACACTTTGGAGAAAAAGAAAAAGTTGACATGTAATTGACTTTAATTTCCACTTTTTTAATTTACTTATGAGAATTTATATATATTAGAAAATCAAATTGAAAATATGAAAAAAAGAAGAAAAAGAAAAGAGGATGGAACATTCAAACTTATGATGAGGAGATATAGATGCTTAGAAAAAAATGCAAAAAGTAATATATTTACTATGCTATTTTTTGACTTTTTTGTTTGCAATTATTAATTTAATGCTTTCAATTCAAGAAGTGGTTTTAAATATTGATTAGATTTAATACTTGACACTTGACTTTGAAGCTACATTTTCAAAAGGAAATATAAATATTTTAACTTGGTTTGAAATGTGATGGGAAAGATGTTTGATTTATACTAATTTAGATGGTCAAGCATTTGTGCTATTTCAATGCTTATTTTTTGAAAAAATAATTTTTTTGAATAAATATTGACAACTTAGTCGGTATAGTTCGAGATGGTCCAACGATTAAGACAGGAAGGTTTTTAAAGAAAAAAAAAAGAATTTGGAATAAAACCAAGAAATTAATTTTTTTTGGGATACCATCTTCAAAACTAAAATATTTCGAATAATCACAAAAAAATAATTGTGTTCCTAGATGGTTTAATGATTATATTCATTTTTTTTGTTAAAAAAAGCTAATCAATTAAATTAACGACAAATATAGATGAGATAGAATTAAAATGAAAATAAATCTAAAAAGTTATGGAATAAAAACAAAAAATTAAAATTGTACGTTTTAAATTCAAATATTGTAGAGTGAGAATTTAAACTATTAACCTTTAAAATGGTATCGTACGATACCCACTATTATATGTAAATTAAGTTTATATACATGACAGAACGATAAATTTAAAAAAAAAAATTGGGGATAATATTAAAATTTCTCAAACATTGTCATATTGTCTATGCATCTTGTCCATCAACTCAGAATTTTGATCGATAGAAATAAGTATGAGATTGGTATTTCTTTGTTTGGAGCAAGTTTTTATGGGGTTGGATAATAGAATAATTTATTCTTTGACATAATTTATACCCAATTTTATGGGTTTTCTTTTTTCCATCTCCCTTTTCTCCTTTTTAATCTTCTTTTTCCATATCTTCGTATTTAGAAAAAAGAAAAAAAAATATTTATTTACATTAAGGATGAATAAACTATCACTCAACAAAAAATTTAAGCGGATGGGTTGATAAATTTAATTTATTTATATAGATTCTCAATATTTAATTAAAATTAATTCATATAAATTAATTAGTATGTTTAAATTAAGCTTATAATTTATAATATTATATTGTAATTTAAATTAATTAATTGTTCGATAATTATAAATTGATAATAATTAATAAATTGATTTAAATATGTATTTAATTTATTTTTATGGGAAAATATATCAAGCCAATGCAGTTGATTTTTATTGAATAGTTAGTTAACTAATAATATTATTAATTATTAATTTCAATCGTTTAAAACTAATTTTAGTGAAAGAATTCATTGAAAGTTTATAATTAATTACTCGATTCAAACTATTCACTGATTTCTAATTAGTTAATTTAAATTAATGACTTCGAATTGTTTAGTTAATTAATTAATATATCATAATTATATTACATTTCTAAGATTACTCCTATTATATCTCGAAAAAAAAAGATTACTCCTATTAATTATAAGGAACATACTTGCTCAAAATAAATAAATAAATACAAACACAATTTATTCTCATGTAATGTTGATAATATTTTCATACAAAATCAGATACAATAATTTTTTTTAGTGATCAGAAAATAAGAGATTCAATAAAAAAAACAGAATTGTATATTTTCTATAAAAAAACAGAATTGTATTTTTATGCGTTTGATGGTGGATTTAAAAATTGAATGTCAATTTCAAAAACTGTTCAATCTGTGTTTAGCAATATATTTGTAAACTAGTAGTAGTTATCAACTAAATATTTAGTTTAATGTAAAATAATATTAATTAATTTATTATAAATTTTGTATAATTATTATTTTAAAATGTTTTATAATTTATAATCTATTGTATTTTACATGGTTTAATTTTAACAACAATGAAATGAGTTTATAACATGAAATAATATATTCATAAATTTTTTTTATCCTTTTTAATATAAAGTTTAAAATTCCAAAGTTGAAAATACAGAAAACATAAAAAGTTGTTTTTAGAATTTTTACTTTTTGGATCACAAAATTCGAAAACAGTTTTAAAAAACAAATACGCATATTCATTGAATCCTGATTCTACAAACAAGAAAGTGAATGTGAATTGCCAAGCCTAACTATCATACATCTCCCAACATACATTTTATTTTCAAAGCATCCAAATCAAACTTCAAAACCCTAATCGTCCCTAAAGAATTTCATATGATCTTAAATTTCTTCATAAGAGTTCCATCTCCATTACTTCCTTTTCCTACGTTTGAATACTTTTATGCTCTTATACTTTAGTTTAAAAAAATAAAATAAAAAAAGGTCTCACACAATGACGACTAAACAAAGAATAAGGGATGGATCAAATTTTGATCAATTTTTGTGAATATAATTTACATAAATTATTCGATAAAGCTTCTTCCATTTCAATGATATCGGACTATCAAAATAATTCTCACGAGTTGGGGGCTTTGGCAGGTGTTCAAATTTTCTTCAGTTTTGTGAATCAGGAAGATAATACGACTACTTATCGACTGACGCGTCTGGCTTTAGATTCGTCCGATCTGCATGTCTGGGTGGAAACGTGTCCATCGACTGTGTCTCTTTGCGTGGAGGAAGATTGTTTTCGTCTTTCATCTTCTGTGTAATGGTTTTTTTGCATTTTCATTTGCTTCAAAAATAAAAAAAATAAAAAATAATTCTCACGAAATTCTTGCATTTCATATCAGTTTCTTTTTATTCCTACAAAGCATTTTCTATTTATTCAATTATTAAGCTATTTTCTTATTGGTATAAGAAAAAACTTGCTAGCAAATAATAAAAAATGGATTTGCCTTAAATGGTATGAAATATCTTATCTTAATTACCGCAGATCAAATCCTCAACCAAAAAAATAATAAAAAATAAAAAATAAATAACAATAATAATAAAAGTTATGACATATCAAGAAAATAGGGATTAATTTCGGCCTTAATTATTATATTTCCCCCTCCCATGGATCCAGTACGGCACAACTCACAGCAATTCCCAATATTCACTCTCCATTCACCGTCGGATTCTCTCATCCCCAGTGGGCCCTCATGAATCGAATGGTCCATAATTTTGATTACCATAGACCCTACCTCACAGGATAATTACTACAGAAATTTTCAGTCCCGAATCAACCAGAGAAACTAAAGCCCTCTTTTAAACTTCTTCTATGTATGCATACACACATTTCCAAGTTTGGATGATAATTATGAAGAAAATTAAGACTAAAAACCCTTAATTTTCTTCCTTATTAATTAAGATTTGTGATCCTTTCTTTTAATAAAGAGATTATTTCTATATAATATTTATTGACCAGACCAAATGCAGTAAGAAGATGAAAAAAACATACCAAAAACAATTATCTAACAATTTGGTATCAAAATATCAACCTGAATTTCATTTTTAGAAACTCTATTAATCATTATCATGTATTTATAAAGCCAAAGCCAATCAATCCCATTTCAGAACCAGAGAGAAGAAGAAGAAGAAGAAAGAAGAAATGGGTCTGAAGAAATGTGGTGTTTTTAGGGTTTTTTTGGTTGGTTTTTTCTTGTTTTCCATCATAGAAGCTCATGGTGGTAAGGCCAAATTCTTCAATGTTGTCAACTATGGAGCAATCCCAGATGGAAAAACAGATAACAGTAAGGTAAATATACTAAAAGAATGAAAAAACATGTTTAGATAACTGTTTTTTCTTACTCGTAATTAGGGTTATAGTTATTTTTCTAGTAGAATCGCATGTCTTTGTTTTTCCAAGCGACAACCCAAAAAATTGCACTTGAAAGTTGTTTCTTGGAATAAATCTTGAACTAGAGCAAAGTTGAAATGGGATTTTTAGGCATCTTTGAAGCGTGTTTAGAACGAATGAAAATTTATGACATGTTTAGATAACCGTTTTTTCTTGCTCAATTAGGGTTATAATTATTTTTTGGATAGAATCACGAGATTAAGTAACGATCCAAAAATTATACTCTAAAGTTGTGAACTGTTCCCAATTTCATTGAGCAAAAATTGAAATGAGCTTTTCAAGAATTTTTGTAGAGGCATGTTAAGAAAATGAATGAAAAATTAAGGCAGGTTTAGATAACTGTTTTTCTTACTCATATATGAAGACTTTGTAGTTATTTTACTTTTAGAATCACGAGATGATATTGTATCTTGATCCCAGATAAATATACTTAAAAGTTGTTTCGGAGAATAACTCTCGAATGATTATTTCGAACTCGATCTATCGCGAGAAAACTAAAATGGGTTTTTTTTTTCTTTTTTTGGGAATTTTAGGCATTTTTGGAGGCATGGAGGGATGCATGTGGATGGAAGGGGAGGGGTAGGGTTTATATCCCAAAAGGAACATTCAAGTTGAGAAAAGTGCTTTTCTTGGGTCCATGTGAGGGCCAAACTGCTTTTGTGATAAAGGGGATTCTAAAGGCTCCTACCGACATGTCGTCTCTATCTGCTGATAGTTGGATCAACTTCCGATATGTCGATCGCTTGACTGTTTGTGGAGGTGGCTCCTTGGATGGTCAAGGTGCTATTGCTTGGCCAAGAAATGAGTGCAAAAAAACCCCTACTTGCCTCTCCCTTCCTACCGTAAGTTTTCCTATTTTCATTTCTCGTCTCTTTTGATAGATCTCTAAACTTTCAATGTCGTGTTTTAATACCTTTTAAAGTTTAAGGATCTAAAAGATACAAAATTGAAAGTTTAGAGACTTATTAGATACAATCTTAAAATTTTGCTATAAACGTTTTTGTGATTTCTATGATTTTTTCAGACAATGAAATTTGATTTTGTCACGAATGGAAAAGTTCATAACTTGCGATCGATCAACAGCAAGAACAACCATTTCATGCTTTTCGGATGCAGCAAGATAAACATCACCAACATCCATATCTCCGCCCCCGGGGACAGCCCCAACACCGATGGAATAAAAATTGGAAACTCCGACAGCATCAACATAACAAACTCGATCATCGGCACTGGAGACGATTGCATTTCGATGCTGTCCGGGAGCAAGAACATCCACGTCTCGAACGTGGTTTGCGGCCCGGGACATGGTATCAGTATAGGAAGCTTAGGGAAGTACGAGAATGAAGAGGATGTGATGGGGATTACAGTGAAGAATTGCACTTTCAGGAACACAACTGATGGTGTGAGAATCAAGACGTGGGCTTCATCTTCAACTGCGGATGCTTACAATATTCACTATGAGGATATTTTCATGGACAATGTTAGGAATCCCATCATCATTGATCAACAATATTGCCCCATTCCTCCATGCAATCAACAGGTAAATGTTTTTAAGTGAAGTATTTTTTCTGGTGTGAAATTGGTTCGGTTCGGTTGGGTTTAGTTAGATTTCGAGGGTGTCGTAGAAAACATAATTGATCGAGTCGGGTTAGTTTGGATGGAGTAGGTATCTTCAGGGGTGCAAATAAGCAATGTGAGATTCAAGAACATATGGGGAAGCAGCAGTTCAGTCACGGCAGAGACATTGAGATGCAGCAAAAGCAGGCCATGCAAGAACATTGTGCTTGAAGACATCAATCTCATCAGCTCTGACAATGGAAAGCTTTTTTCTTCTTGTTTTTCTGTCACCGGCTTCTCTTATGGCTATCAAAATCCCACTCCTTGCTTGTAGAAATCTACACAATTAGCTTTAGCTTGTGTGACAATTACTTTTCTTTTACATGTTCCAACTTTGTTATCGTGTCAACTCATTTCAATTGACGTGTTAAAGAGTTTAAATGACCATGGAGTCGTTTCCGAAATATCCTATAGATCTTAAAGAGAGAACCTTCAAGAAAATATATTTGGTAACAAGAAAAACACGAACATCGCTAGTAAACAGATGTCCAATAACATTTCCAAAGGTTAAAGAAGAACTCATCATATGAGGCGTGATCATCTGTTTTCTTTTTTCTCTTTCATTGAATTTTCAAATCAAGACTCTTATTTTTTAGTTAAACAACGAGTCAGATTCGAATCTTCAACCTCTGAGTCGAGATGCCTTAACCATTTGAGCTAAGATTCGTTTTAAAGAAAAATTGCAAGCAAAATACTAAAATAGCACACACAAAAAGTAAGTGATAGAGAAAAGTAACCATAAAATGAACTCCAACAATAGAAATAAAAACATAAAACTAGTTAGTGATAGAGGAAAAACTAAGGACTTTCTCAGTGGGGGAGGAAACAAATTGTCAAAGATTGAAACTAAATCAGATGAACTTCAATTGAAGAAGAGTTATGAACATGGTTCAGCCACAAAGAAACTAGCTCGACTTCTGTGACATAAAAGTTTGTTTCACCAACACCTTCAACAATTCACAAGTTGTCTGAATTTCACTTGTCCAACCAACAGTTGCAATAAAAGTGTTTCACCAACATTCGGGACAATTCATACACATTTGTCTGAATTTCATCCACTGATATTGGAGAGAGTTTGCTTCTAAGATGCCTTCAGGCATCCCGGGCGAGTAACTCGCGGCCTAACAGGCGTCTTCGAAGGACTTACCCTGCCAGAAAAAAGAAGAAAAAATTGGGGAAAAAATGTAAATAAACAAATGTATGAAACAAAATAGAGGACGGTGAAGAAACCAGACCTGATTGGCTGAGAACCCAAGATCATGCCACTACAATTGAGCGCTTGAAGAGCAGTCTCTGCCTGATCATGGAAACAAACAGAACTATTCTTACAAAAGGCAAAAACAGACGCTTCTGCGCCAAAAAATACATCTCACTCGAATATTTGATGAAATTTGAGATAAAATTTGGAAAAGTCGTAAGCAATGAAAACAGACGCCTATGAGTTGCTCCCAGTGTAATATGTTCCGCAATGTGAGTGATGAATAAAAATTTACATTAAGCAGTAAAACGTACACCTGAATATCAAACAGAGAAGAGATCGAGACAACGAAGCATTTTATCCACATACACATCAGATGGTGCAGTCTACAAATTACAAAATTTAGATGCTTCAACACCCTTCATTCTTCCAGTTGATCATTAGGCCTGTCCGTGATCGACTCACTCACAAGTTTCGACACTCTTAAAGTTGCTAAAACCTCCTTCGTGACAGATTCTCCTTTACAAAAAACTGTCTAGGAGAAGCACCCAAATTTCTTTGCATTCAGGCTAAGTTCATAAGCTAAACTAATGACAGAAAAATGTGAGTTCAATGATCTAAGAAATGCAAACAAAAGAATATGTACTCGTCAAAGAAAGCTAAAAGATATCTCTGACAGTAAGCAAAAAAATTCCAGCTACCTAAGAGTAGATAATTTGCAGAGTACAATTTTCTGATGGCTCTCTCTATCATTACAAATTAGCAAGGACCCCAGATGAATAACACAAGATTAAAACATCAACTTTCATTTCATTCCAAAAAAACAAAAGGACAACGTGACTCTGCATTCAGGAAGCCATTTAAGAACATTACAATGGAATCGGTGGGATGAAGCACTATCTGACTACAGAAGGTGTTCTTTATTGAGTTTCAGAATCGTGTTGAGAGTTGTAGCCCAAATTGAAGCACTATCTGAGTACAGAGGGTGTTCTTTATTGAGTTTCAGAATTGTGTTGAGAGTTGTAGCCCAAATTTTTTTACTGATGATTCTTTTCTTCATGATTGAGTCATTTTTAAAAATTAGAGTATAAGAAATAGAAAAGATCCTTGAGAGATTGTAATCAATATTAAGTATATAATATAATGATATTGATGGTTGGTCATACTTTTTGATGGAAAGATATACCAAGTCAAACAGATAAGAAAAAGCATACTGGAGCGAACTCAACAAAATTTAAAACCATATGATTAACTAGTGTAATGCTGTAGAGAAAAAGCTTACCAGAGCAAACTCAACAAAAGCTATACGGGTTGAATGCAACTGATCGCCCAGCAACCTCAAGCGAGTTACCTACATTCAAAAGAAGATTTTAAGTTAACAGTCGGTCTAAATCTTCGAAACACACCACCAATGAAAATATGCCATCTGCTTATATCTTACCTCACCACAAGATGTTTCAAAGAAACTCTTAACTTCAGCCTGAGATACCTGTAAACAGAAAATATAATAAATAAAAAGTATTTTAAAATCCCAATATCCTTAAAATTCGTTAGATGTTGGGCTCCTTCTTGGGATGTCATATTTGTCAGTTTGTTTTTTTCTGGCCCTTTGGTGAGCCTTCTTGTATTCTTTCATTTGTCAAAATGAAGGCTTGTTTTCTCCATTGTAAGAAAAAAAAAAAAAACAAAATTCACAAGCATCACTTTCTTTTGCACAAGTTGAAGTTAAAGCATCACGTTTGTCATACAATATCCTATAAGTCCTACTATAGAGCCACATCAGGCCAACATTTTCATAGAATTTTTGTTTCCTTTTTTATATTCTTCAAGATTTCTTCCTCGTATTTCTAATGATATTCATTTGAAGACGCTCTGATGGAATACCGAGAAGCACGAATAGGGAGTCAAATCGGGAAAACAGGGAGTTGTGCAGTTCAGATTGAGATTGAAGGAGATTAATGAGTATGGACGGGCAAGAAGACTATTACTTGATAAAAATTAGGAAACATTTGTGCCATCGTGTCATCAGAATTAAGATCAATATATTGTATGCAACAGCATAATCTAAGTCTTTTCCTTTTTAATGTTTTCCACAACCACTTTTCTGATTAAAGAAAAAAAAAAGTAAAACAAACAAGCAAAAATAGGGGCAAAACAACAAAACAACACAAGAGTAGAACAATACTCCTCAGAAACTATGTTGTGTCTTTCCACCCATTACATTTCTCTTTCTGATATTGATTTTTTAAAATTAGATAAATCTCGGAGCAAATGTCCAGAACCAGAGCAGAAGATATGAAGAAAAATCAACAGAGTTGAATTTATATATATATATATATATATAACAAACAAAATTTCACTGAATAAATGATGATATGCACAAGGCTAGTACATGTCAATTAAGTTATAAAAATGGACCCCAATTGGGACAAATCATAGCAGGATGGAATTGAATAAGAAACAAACATGTTGGATTCATTGGAATCCATGCAAGTTCTGGTCCTTTATTTTTCACTTATTACGCTGACTTTTCTTCTTAGTTAGGGCAAATGTGAATAAATAATAGAATATTTTTAAGAAGTACAAGCAGATGAAGAATGTGCCTGAAATGTTATGAATAGAATCAAGTCAAACATTTACAGTATCTAGTTCAGAAAACTAGTCACAATTAACAACATAGATGGATAGATAGATAAAGAAGCAGGAGAAGAAGGGGTGGTGTTTAGATATTTTCGAGGGTAACGAGCCAAAAGAGTATGACTTAAGGTGGTCTAGGTAAAGTTAACAGGTCTGTCAATTAAAATTCAATGCATCTTCTTCCCAAACAGTTAATGAATGGTATTTGAGGGAGAACAATCTCAATAAAAGTAAAAGTGTTTTTCTGGACTTGAGGAAACTTAACTCCCTTGATGTTTTGGAGAAGAAATTTCAAAATTCTGTCCTTCCTAGTTGGTACATTTTGGGTAAGGATAGTGAGGAAAGCTGAGCCAACCTCTTCAATCGCTGTAGTTATGTTAAAAATATGAGAAAGACTCTTTCAGAAGTTTGGTCTTAGTTAAAGTGAGCCATGGACTATTCTAGAATTTATTTAGAAAATTCTCTGTGGCCATGTTTTTTCAAGGGAAAGATCCTGTGGGAAAATGCTGCCGTGGTTGGTTTTTGGAAGGTAAGGAAGGAGTCCAACAGAAGAACTTCCAACAATTCTCATAGAGATTTGATGATTTCTTTGATTTAATTTGTTACAATATTTCTAGAAATATCCCAACAGTAAAATAGGGGAGCCTCAAATTCCAAGATCTGGTGATCTAGAGCATCCTGATATTCCAAATAAAGAATAATGGGAAATTCAAAGGATAAAACTGAAAGGAACAAACTATTACTTCCTTTCTGCATGTCACATTGTTCTCTTCCATTTCAAATACGTCAAGATTCACACTAATAATTTTCGTATGATTCAATTAAAGAAAGTAATGATACCTTCTTATCAATATTTGTGCAGTAGATAGTCCTGGTACACATATCCCATTCATCATTTGACTGTAATAAAATCATAAAAGAACAGAAGACTAAATCAGGTTATAAGAGAACACTTGTGTGAAATATATAAGTGTACCCATATAGGGAATAAGGCGACAACATACCTTGGGGAGAAAGGTAGGATTCACAGGAAGGATGGCAGTTTTTGAAGGCAATACCTTAATTGGATAAGACCCTACCATTGTGCCACCAAGGTTTAAGGCTGCTCTAGCACTATCTGTTTCCAAAACATTCCAGATGGCATGTAAGATCAAATAATATATTTCTTTTCACAAAAATGTTTGAAAAGAAATTCAGGGTGTGAAGATTAACTTACGCTCATTAGCGAACTCCACAAAAGCAAAACGAAGAACTGAATGGGGATCACCACAAATTCGGCAATCATTAACCTTCAAAAATATAAAATTTACCCATAATCAAGGTCTTCTATAAACTTTTGAAGCAGAAAGACAATTTGAAGAATGTTCAGCTATCCGAACAAAATAATCTCTTCATTCAACCATAATATTTAGGTATGTAAACCCAATACTGTATGGAAAGGAAATATAGCTTTCCAGATAATTTTGTATTTACAATTTCATTGTGTGCCGTTAGTTATTATCCATTCTCTTCATAATGGAAATGCTGGCATGGCCTAATAACAAGAAATGTCCATAGTAAAAAATCTCGCTTCTTAAATCTAAAAACTTAATTAACTAGTGACATAAAGGCATATAACTTGTTTTTATTTCGGTGGAATTTAAATAAACTTAAAAAAAGATTGGTTCCAGTGGTTGAAAAGAGAAGCATGCCTTTTATTCATAAACAACGTAGATTTCTTAGATATTAACTATACAAATGATCACAAATTTCACCTGCATGATATGACATTGAGTTTAAGTTTAATATTTATCTTTTCAATATATTTCTATCATGTAAAAGGCATTACTTTTCACGTTCACCAACATTTCTTCCTTTCAGCACCAAGATCCACAAAAAAAATCTAGCATTAAAAGCATCCATCAGTCAGCTTGAACTACCCTAATGTTGTGAGATATTACCAAACATTTTGATAATTGTACCACAACTATCAAGATAATTTTCTTATTAACATCCTGGAACCTTAAATGTTCACTATTCCAATAAAAGGAAGGACTAATCATTATATCATGTGAAGACACACACCTACTTGAAAAAATTGCTATCATGCAAGTTGAACTATTATTCAATTGCCAGTTTAAAACAAACCAAACCATGTCTTTTCATAATAAGAATAACAATAAGAGGATAATTACAGAATATGTTAGAGTTGAAAGCCAGAACCCAGTCCTGTAACAACCCACCTTGAAATCTCCCTTTAATAACATCAAATACATCCACTCTAGACTTCCACCCTCCCCACAAAATGACAGCACCCATTTCTCCATTGGACCTTAGGTTATGTTTGGTTTGCAAGAATGAGAATGGCATAATAATGCGAAAGATCTTCAACTGAAAGAGGGAGGACCCAGGAGAACTGAAAATGCTCCAGAGATTATCCATGACCCTCCTTGCAAAAAGGGCAACAGATAAGAGGTGACTGGTACTCTCTCCTTACATCTCACAAATAATAAATCTGCTGGGGATAAGACACACGTAGGTGGACCTCATCTTGATCAATACATTTAGCCAATATAAAAACAAAAAGTTCACTGAATTAATTCGCTTCAATGTTGATGGGGCAGCACAGTATTAACTTATTCGATATGACGTACATGACAACAAGGGATGGCAAAGAGGAAAAAGTCAACCATTACTTGTTCTTTAAAAAGCTTGGTCACCAGGCTGCTCTTTATTCATCATCTCGTCTCCCTTTGGTCTTGGGTGTTGGTTGATTTCTTGCTTCCCTCTTCTTTTATTGTAATGTTTTTGATGAATTATAATCGACTCCTATCATTTTAGAATAAAAACCTTGTCCCTCCTTTTAGTGTGTGTATTCTTGTTGTTTGTGGGGCAGGGGGAAGGGGAAAGTTGGAGGAAATTTTTCAGTGGACCCAAGTACATACTCATCAAAGTACACAGAAAATACGTTTTTTTACTGCAAACATAAAATATCTTCTTAGAAGACAGATTGTAATTGAGTATACTTACATATCCACAAAACTCCCTGAATACCTTGGCAAGCTCCTCTTCAGAGACCTAGATTAGAAACAAGCTTCTCATTCCAAAATGATCTCAATGCATTATAATAAGAATTTAAGCTTGTAAAGATATGATACTCACATCCTTATCAATATCAGAAACATAAACAGTCCTCCTTATACTTTCCTCTTGTTGAGCTCTGACAGACCTACTATTCAATCTTCTTCTCCCCTGGTTATTAAAGTCTTGCCTTCTCTGAAAGAGAGGGGAGAGAGAGGGGAGTGTAAACATAAGACACAGAACAAATTTCAATATCACCCATTTTGCAATCATGGTGATTGATTCATTTTATTTAGTTCTATTTAACAACGAGCCACAATCTAGAGAAGCAATTTTATACTATTTGGTACTTAGACTTACTATCAATAATTCAAAGAAACAAAATTATGTCGGGATACTAAGATTGGCAATTCTGCTTTATTCTTCGAATAATGGTAACAGTTGTATAGTAGAGACTGGATCATCAAACTAATCTAACATATAAAACATAAGATAGGCTAATCCTAGATCAAGTGTTCAACACCAAGCCTCAAGTGATAATTATACTACTTAAGATCCCAATACCAGACACAATAAAACTGAAACAAGGTAAACATCTGACGCATAGGTAAGAACTTAAGGCAATATTAACCATCTATGTTGATTATTTCTTAGGAAATCGAGGCTTTTTATATTGAGCTGGAAATAAAAAAGATATTTACACAAGCAAGCTCATGACAGTGGAAGTGCAAATCTAAAGTAATAAATAAAAACATATTTTCATCGATTATTTTGCATCAATTTATTCAATTCCATGTATTAAGAAAATATTATTGTTCTAGAAAATTTGCAAGGAAATGCTCTTCATTTTAAGAGCAAAACAGAGTGTATCAGTGAAAAGCTGAAAGTAGCATATAAGTACATGGATCTCTTGATGATAAATTCTTCAAAAGATAATTCATACTTTGAGAAAATGCACTCATGATCAATAAAAATTTAAGGGAAAAGAAGTAAGAATCTACATATCAGCAATAATAAAAGACTTGCAGCAACCTAAACAGATAATGAAGAATTATCATTGAAGCTAACAGATCTCAGGTGATCTAAAAACGAATGGGAACGTGAACAAAAGCCTTTCAGTTTAAGCAACAGAAGTTCTCCCAAATAGCATGGGAAATGGGAAATTTTAGAGGAGAGTTGAACAAATGACAACAAAAACAGCCAACATAATAAAAAACTCAGACCCTCATAAAATTCTCGCTTGGATTTTCAAATTGAGCTCGATTTTGATGGACAATTATAGCATTCAATGACATGATACGATTGCTCAAGGTTGCAGAAGATTCACTTGATATGGGAAGTAACCAATACACAGAGACTGCTAAAATAATTTCCAGTGTCAAGTACAGTAAATAATACCAATAACATACTGAACAATCCCAGGAACTCACTGTGGGAAAAATTCCCACGACAAGTACCACTGATCGACACGCCCAAGAGTAAATTACATCACATTAACAAATTCACATCAACTTGAAATCATTATAATAAGAATAAACAATCCCAAATGGCCAAATCAAACAGAAAGTACAATTCAGTCCAATAAAGTACAATTCAATCCAATTCCAGCACTTGAATTATGGATTGAATTTTATCATCCGAAAATCAAAACAAGAACAGCCAAAGCAGATCAGATTGAAGAATTGAAAGGGAAAAAAAGAATACCCTTCGATTGTTATCACTGTGCAACAGTTGATCGGCGACCTGGAAGTTTTTCGTCGACGATCGATTATTGTTTTGATAATAAAACTGAAATTCTTGGCGATCATGATGAGAGTAAGAGGAAGGAAAAAACTCCTTGGCCAAAGGGTTCAAATTGCTGAACATTTCAGCAAGCTTATGAGCATCAAATTCTGATTTGGGTTTCATGTTCGGATCAAAATTCTTGGCAGCCGCTGCCTCACCGATATCCTCAGCAACCGCGGCCATAGAATCAGAACCCAGGTGCCAAAAAACAGAATTGGAAAGGTAAAAAATAAATATATATGTATAGTATTATATAATATACAAAAATATAAAGTCAAATTAGCAAAACAAAATTGAAGTTGTTGGACACAGAGTCTCTCAGTCCATCTGGGAATTCCCACCACTCGGATAAACTCCAATTGGGATTCCACAGGGGAGCATTAAAAGAAGGTACAATAAATAGAACCCATTTGAGAGAGGCCAGAAATGGAAAGATGGTGAAGAGAAAGGAGAGGAATTTCTTCTTAAAAAAAAAAAAAAACAGAGAAGTGTGATTTAGGGTTCTTGAGAGAATGATCAAAAGAGAGAGAGAAAGGAGGGAATTTGGGTCTAGGTTTGGGTTTGGCCTTGGCCTACAAATACCAAACTCTCATGGGGTTTATTCCTCCGAGAGAGAGGAGAGAGAAACAGAGGAGAGAGAGAGGGAATTCGCCTTAAAGTGAGTGAAGAGTGTGGGGGCGTTTTCGTTTACACAATACAAGATGGACAAAATAAAAACAAACGTAAAATGATGACATTAGGCTCTTCTTCGTCCGTTTCTAGAGAAAATAAAAATAAAAATTTTTCACCTTTTTGGAGTTTGATTTGACTTCTTATCTTCCTAGCTTTGGTTAAATATATAATTTTGTTCCAATTCTTTTGTTTCCCTTTTTCTTTTGTCATTTCATTCCAACGTTTTTCATCCAATATAAACACATTAATCAGTTGAGCTATTTTCAATATAAAGATAGCGAGTTCAAATCTACATCCTACATCTTATTATATTAAAAAAATAATTTTAATGTTTCAATTTTTTAAAATATTTATTTTTAATTTTGTTTATTCTATTTTAGTTGGAAATTTCAAAATATTTATTTTAGTCTTTTATACTTTTTTAAATAATAATTGCATCGATTCTTATTATTATTCAACTGGCACAAATGTAGTTTCGAATATATGTGTATTAGCCTGATAACATGAGCATTGAAACTATATAGACTAGTTGAGGCGAGTAGATAGCGTGATAAATATTAGGTGATGAAGTAATAACAATGACTATAATTATTACTTTCTTAAAATGCATGTGTTAAAAAAGAAATAAAGAATTGAAATAGAATAATTTCAAAGATGATAGTGGGATTTAAATCATAGAATTGAAATATAGAGCATCACCTTATCAATTTGTCAAATTAATTTGAAAAGGTCTATGATTTTATTGACTTGATTGAAAATTTTTAAAAAGTTACGAAATTTTTAAATAATACTCAGAATAAGATTTGCCAGCAAAAATAATAAGAAATACGATATAAAATATTTTTATGTGTCAAGTCAATTTTTATTAAATGGTTTGATAAAACTTTTGACGTGATTAAATTAATTTTTTTTGTATGAAATTGAAATTTTGAAAGTTGTTTCACAACAATTTTGCTCCCTTTCTTTTCTCTTGAAAATTAAACAAATGAAAATTACATGTGTTTTTGTATTACATATTTGTATGTTGTCTTTGTTTAACTTTTCAAAATTTGAAAATACTTTTAAATTTACCCAAATTTTATAGAAAGAAAGTAAAAGAGAAACCACTTTTTTCTGATTTTAAAGTTTTGGTCGTGATTTAAAAATGAGCTAAATAATATATTAGAATACAAAATAAAATGGTAATAAAAAAACATAATTTTAAAAAAGTATATATACAATGAACCCTAAATTAGAATATCTATTAATTTAAAATATTTACAAGATAATCGTATAGAGTTTTAACTGTCAAGAAGAAAAAAAAAAACCTAAATTTTTGGAAACATTGTAAACACCAAAATACAATTTATTTTATTAAAATATATTTTCGACATACAAGAAATAGTTATACTTAAAAAGAAAAATGGGAAAAAAGGAAAACAAAATATTTGTAATTCACCGACTAGAGAAAGGGGTTAAATAGGAACTGCATATGGATGGCTGTAAATTACATGCATTTAATTTGTTGGGATTTTCCAATTACTTTTTTAATATTTCTTTGGGCAAAATATACTTTAATATTTATCTTCATTCATTCACTATCTATTTAATCCTTAGTTTAATCATGAATTTGAGAAACAATTTTAAATAGTCTTTGCATTTGTTTAACCATTAATTGGCTTACACAAAAATGAAAAATGATTGTACTAAGAAAAGCAAAAAAAAAAAAATGAAAAATGATGTGGCAGCAAGTTACTTAGATACTTAATTTGCTAAAATATTAATTTAATAATTCCTTTTATGATGATCGGACTTTTTCTCTTCCTCCATCTCTCCTCCTCCAATCGTCTTTGAGACGGATTTTCGTTGAGAATGGAATAGTGTTCGTGTCCAAAGGTGAATAAAATTCTCTCGTCAACCACCGTCACTCTCCACTGCCCCAGTCGTCGTCACTCCCCACTGCCCCAATCGACATACACTACTCTCCTTCATCTATCAAATGAGCGAAGTTGACCGTTAGTTCATGAAGGAGAAGAAAAGAGGAGTCAATACACCAGAAAAAGTATTATCAAATTAATATTGCAAAATACAATTAGCAACTTCACTGTCACATCATTTTTCTGTTAGCTGGTCAATTAGTGATCAAATGAATCCGATAACCATTTAGAACTATTTTTTAAATTTTAGGTACGTTAAGATGTCTCTTTTAAAAGACAAAAAAACTAAATAGACATAAATCCCGGCCCAAATCAAAAGTGTATTTTGCTTTATTTATTTGTAAAATTTCATATATTTTTTTCTATATTGGTAAACATAACATTATAAATAGAGTTGATAAGGCTCGAAGACCCTCAACTTTGAGAATTTCCTTATCATTAGTAAAATCATTTGTTTAAGTCATGCCTCTTGCTTGGTGGCATGTGCCCATCTGATCTTTACCTCTCAGGCCAAGTTAAAAATTCACTAATTTATATATTTGTAAATGTAAATTGTAAATTACATGGTAAACCATATTTTCTTTAAATTATTATATTTATAAAGTATTTAACTTTTGTTTTAATTTTTCTCTACATTAATTCTTTTTTCTTGATATAAAATATAAACAGAAGTGAACAAAAATATTTTTCATTTTTTAGTAAATTATTTTAAAAAAATAATCACATAACCACGAAATTATAATTCTTATAAAAGGGAAAAATGTTTATTATTTCAAAGTATTATATTTTTCTATATTTATAAAGAAAAATGAAGGGACCATTTGTTTTTTTTTTTCTTTTTTTGAGAAAAGGGACCATTGATAATCATTTTATTTTCTGTTTTTAATTTTTAAAATTGATAACAAATTCAATTTTTTTTATTTAAAATTTTTAAATTTAAGTAAATTAAAAAAATGTAGTTTTGCTAAAACGAACCTAGCGGTTGCACTTAAAAAAAGAGTAGTTTTTAAAAATAGAGACGACTCACGTACCTAAGTAAAAATTGAATCCCAAATTTGGTGAGTTTGTGAAATTTATAAATTCTAATAGTTGAGTTATTTTTTTATGATAACATTAGTGGCTAGTTATATACATTTATTTTAGGCTGGGTTTGAATTTTAATTGTTTGCTCTAATGTTTGAGTTTTATTTTTTAATTATAGTTGTTGTTAAAAAGTTTTAATTTAATATCTTATATTTTAACATTTTTTCATTATACCTTTTTACGTTTATCAGTGTGATAATTGATAATTTATATGACATAATATTTAGTAAGTCTACAGAGAAAATGTTATCGAGAGGAAGAAAAAAAAAAGTGTCAGGAATTTGAGGAACGAAATGGAAATTTTTCTCCCTATGTAGCCTAATTATTCCTCTAGTTAGGGACACGCTGAGGAGTGATTTTAAAATAAATGATTTTTCTTTCTAAAAATTTAGTTACAGTTGATTTTGTAAAAATAATTTTCATGAAATTATTTTAAGGTTTGGTTACACACTTTATAGGTGAGATTTTGAATTATTAGTGTGTGGCTTTAAAAGTGATTTTAGAATCACCAAATTACTAAAAATCACATTATATATGAAAAATTATTTAACACTATTTATTATATAATTAGAATTTAAAAACATGATATATTTGTTTTTCCTTTTTATTTTTTTTTTTATTCTTTGTACTTGGGCATGTCAATAAAAGTGTTTATTCTAATCCCACCTACAAAATATTAAAAAGAAAAAAGAAAAAGAAAATGCCACCCCACGTAATTTTCCCATCAAATTTACTTTAAAATCAGAATCTTATCCTATGATTTAAAACTAGAGTTATTAAATATTTTATCTAAGATGATATTATAACAAAGATAACAATTTCCGCATAAAATGTCGAGCTCGAGTTGATATTGAAAATATCAATAAAATATGAATGTCCATGAATATACTTGAAAAAAAAAAGTCAAAAAATTGTAGAAACTAGTAAAAAGTTTATTTGCATTAATGAAAGAAAAAAATTACACTTCTCAATCATATAAAAGTTATTACCTCAATTCCAACCTAGTAAATAGATAATTATCTTCCTTTAAATCAAAGATTCAATCTCTTCTTATTATATAAAAAATATATATCAATTTTTCGTCCTCACATTGGTTGAACTCACGAAAAAAGGTCAAATATCATTATGATTAGCATTTATATTCTTATTGTCGATATCTTAAAAAAGTACATATTATATTCAACTATGAATATCAAATTTTAATATATGAAAAAGATCAACCCATACTACACTATTATTATTTGAATGAAAAATTTATATATATGGTCCCGGAAATGAAAAGCCTAGAAAATAGTCCTCCCAAATTAGTGTCTACCTAAATTACAGAGAATAAATATCTTTAGGTTCTAAAGCAAATTGAAATTTTGGTAAGATCTCAATTGTTTGAAAACGAGTGAATTGGCCAACTTAATATAGTATTATAACTTAAATTCTGATGTTTTATTTTGGTCCTAAAACTTGAACTAGTGTATTTTTAAAAATTTAGATTATTTAATTGAATAACTATTTTAAAAAAATTCTAACTTAAACATAGGTTAAATTGTTAGGCATCTATACCATTTCTGGATTTTAAATTTTTTCTCTCTTATTTGTAATATGTTACCTTTAAAAAAAATATTTAATCAATATCAGTTTTAAGGAGAACAAAAACATGAGGATATAGACCCTTTATTATTACTTAGGAATGACACAGTGACAAGCACTTAAAACCTAATTAACGTTTTAAGTTTGAATCCTTCGCTAATCATAGTGTTGTTCAGCCTAGACAACCAGCCTGAATACAGACAATTTGTTATTTAATTAGATATGAAAACAATTATATATATATATATATATATTAATTAGAATTCAAGGGTATGGGCCAATTTGTTTTCGGCCATAACCCATAACCCATGGTCCAAATGGGCCTCAAATGAATCTAACAATGCCAAATTAGAAGAGAAAAAAGTCCCAAAATAAATATATAAAAGAAAAAATTATTTGTAATATGTTTTTAGTGCAAGTGGGATTTT